GGAGGTAGAGGTGATCAGGAGGAGAAAAAGGGGACTCAAGAGGAGAGAGACAGATCTACGCAGTTATCTGTTCCCAAAGTGTTCTCCGTAGCCCAGACACCCACAAAGATTCACAGAGTTGGATTGGGAAGAGAAGGGGAAAGGAGGAAATAGAGGTGTTCCGAGGTAGAAAACAGAGAGTCAAAAGTGGGAGAGTAATCACCACACTCCTGAATAGAAATGGGAACTGAATATTGGATTCTTAAATGACCAAAATTTATATCACATACTACTGAAAAACAAAGATTAAAAATCTAGTGTAGAGGTTAGACTCTTTGAAATACAATATTTAAAAACAAAAACACACAAAAAAATTTAGAAATGTATATGAAGTTTGATTTAAAAATAGGGTTTTTCTCTCTCTTTTTTTTTTTTTTTTTGGCAAGGTTATAGTGAAATGAAAATGAAAATTAAGGAATAATAGAGGAGTATTAGGGGACTTTAAAAGGAAATAGGAGAGAAAAACAAGAAAAAGAAAAAAAAAGAAAAAAAAAATTTTTTTTTTCCCTAATTAAAAAAATCGTAAAAATATATGAAAATGAAAGTTGAGGAGTAATGGGGGAGTAATAGGGAATTTTAAAAGAAAATAAAAGAGAAAAAATTAAAAAAAAAAAAAGGATAGAAAAAAAAAATTTTTTTTTAATTAAAAAAAAAAAAAAATATATATATATATATATATCTAGGAATTTCTCTGGAGTTGTTGCAGTCAGCGTAGGTTCAGTTCAATTTCAGATAGCTCCTCTTTCCAGCTTACACTTCTCGATATCTGTAGGCCCCTTCTGGTGTAGTCGGTGTTACCTTCAGGGATTTTAATCTGTTGCACCAGTCCTTTTTGAAGCGGTTCCCTTTGTTTATTTGGCTTCTGTTTGCCGTCTCTTTGGTGTCTAATTTCCGCCCTGACACAGGCGGGCGGAGGTGATCTCTTATTTAGGTTCTCTAGTTCAGTTCAGTCCTGCTATGGGGAGGGCAGGGCGCTGCAGACAGATACCGCTCCGTGTGGATAGCACTCACCGTGTTCCGGTCACACTGGGTTTGCCCCGCTCACGGGTGTCAGTGCTTTTGCCGTCTACACTGCTCAGGCTCCCGGCTGCTCTATATGGAGCGGGCCCTGCGTTGAGTGCGGTTCCAGTTTTCGGGTACTCCACAAAAACGCAGATTCGGTTGCGCCTGCGTTTTGTGCCTTCCCCGGCCTGAGCGGTTCATGCAGCCAGAGGCTTGGGCGTACTTTCCCTGGGTATGGCGCGCCTTTTCCCTCCGCGGCGGGCAGCTCAGGCAGCCAGAGGCTTGGGCGCAATCTCCCCGGAGGTGGCGCTCCTTTTGTTCATCTTTTCTTATCTTGCTATCTTCCTTTGTATTGTATCGCTTTTTTTATAGTAATATGCTTTGTTTCTTTTCTCATTTTCTTTCGGGTATCTTCTGTAAGTGTTTTCTTTGTGGTTACCATGGGACTTACATAAAATATAAGTTTAACAATCAATTTTAAGTTGATAACAACTTCAGCTGCATACACAATCTCTATACTTCTTTAGTGATGAACAAGTTACATGTTTTATATTGTGTTTCTTTTAATATTTTTTATAAATTGTTTTTTAACTTTTACGGCACAACTAAGTGATTTATGTACCTCTGTTACAATATTTAGTTTTGTGTATTTTCTTTATATTTATTTTTGCGAGTGAACTTTATACTTTCAAATGCTTTTGTATTTCTATTTACTCTTTTCATTTCAACTTCAAGGACTCCCTTTAGCATGTCTTGCAAAGCAGATCTAATGACAATTAACTCCCTCAGCTTTTCTTTGTCAGGGAAAGTATCTACTTCATTTTTGAAGGACTTTTTTTTGCTAGTTATAGTGTTTTTGGTTGGCAGTTAGTTTTTCACCACTTTAAATATATCATTCCTCTCACTTCAGGCTTGCATGGTTTCTGCTGAGAAATCTGTTGGAAGTCTTACAAGAATTCCCTTGTATGTGATAAGTTCATTTTCTCTTGCTGTTTTCCAATTCTACTTTTGTCTGTAACTGTTGACATTTTAATTATGTGTCTCATTGTAGAGTTCTTTGATTTCATCCTATTTAGAGTCTTTTGTACTTCATTAATCTGATGTTCGTTTTCTTCCCCAGATTTGGGAAGTTTGTGACCACTATTTCTAAAAATCAGCTTTCTGCTTCTATGTCTCTCTATTCCTTCTGAGACTCATATTGTGTATATTAGTCCTCTTGGTATTATTGTGTAAGCCCCTTAAATTTTCTTCACTCTACTCCATTTACTTTTCTTTTTGCTCCTCTTCACATGACTTTTCTTCCAGTTCTCTCATTATTCCTGCGGGATCAAATTGACCTCAACCCTTAGTAAATTTTTCAATTCAGTTTCTGCATTCTTCGGCTCCAAAATTTGTTTGGTCTTTTTAATATTTTCTGTCTTTTTGTTGAAATTCTCTTTTTGTTTATGCATTGTTTTCCTGATGTTGTTGAACATCTTCATGACAATTATTTTGGATAATTTGCCAAGTAATTTCTATACCTCCACTTCTTTATGGTACATTTTTGGAGACCTATTTTCTTTCTTTAACAGCATATTTTTTGTTTGTTTGTTTCTTCATTTTCTTTTTAACTTTGTGTTGGTATTGACACATTTGGAAAGATAGCTGCCTCTTCCATTCTTTACAAACTGGCTTAATGCAGGAAAAGATCTTCACCAATCAGTGCAACTAGAGACTTTGGGAGCCTTTCAAATCTTTTCTGTTGAGTATGTCTTTCTTAGCTCAGTTGGTAAAGAATCCACCTGCAATGTAGGAGACCCTGGTTCGATTCTTGGGTCAGGAAGATCCGCTAAAACAGGGATAGGCCACCCACTCCAGTATTCTTGGGCTTCCCCTGTGGCTCAGCTGGTAAACAATCTGCCGTCAGTTTGGGAGACCTGGGTTCAATCCCTGGGTTGGGAAGATCCCCTGGAGAAGGCAACAGTTACCCACTCCAGTATTCTGGCCTGAAGAATTCCATGGACTGTGTAGTCCATGGACTCGCAGAGTTGGCCCTGAATGAGTGACTTTTACTTTCACATGTCTTTCTGAATTTGTGTATGAAGATTACTAATTAGAGGGGCTTGCCAGTTTCTTTTTTCAGAAGTTTGTAATCTCTCACTCCCTCTGGTGTCTGTCTTCTGTACTATGAGCACTCTGAAGCAGCAGCACATTACCCAGATTTTTTTTTTTTTTCTCAGCAGCCTTTAGACATGTAGTTTGTCAGGTTCTCTCAATTCCATGAGACAAGCAAAACAAAAAGCAGAACCTTAAGCAGCCCACTAAAAAGCTAGAAATTTGAGTACATGTCCCATTCTCCTTTTTCTGCACTTAGGGAGAGCCTTCTGAGCTATATCAGCTTCTGTCTGCCCTACCGTAGGACCTCTGCACCATCAGGACCCTGCCCAGTACTTTTGTGTTCTCAGAAACTACCATGCATCTAGTGTGTGTGAGGTCTCATCAGTACTTCAAGATAGGCAAGACAGAAGTCAGTCCCCCAGCAGCTCCATACCCCCAATATCCAAATGTTGGGTGTCTAGTCTACTCTCCTCTTTTCCTTACCTGGGAGAAGTGGAACCTGAGAATCTCCTCCTAATCCTGTGGTACTATGCTCAGGAGGGAGAAACTATGGTGAGAGCCTGCCACAAATTTTCCTAATAGCTTCAGAGTAGCTGACTTTACACTCATCTGGAAGGCAGACGCTCTTAACTGGTTTCAGAATTTCTCACAGTGGAAATTGGTCTGCGTCTTTTTGAATCATTGTCTCCATGGAACTGATCTGGGGCTTTCTATTCTGCCATCTTGGTGACATCACCCCTCTGCATAGTCTGTTTTATACATTTCTTATTTGTTGGATCATGCATCATTGCCTAGCATTGGTAATAAAATGTTTTAAAACAGTAACAATCACATTGATCAATATGTTAATATTAATTAGTCCTTATCAGGTACTTTCCATATGCCAGGAAAGATAATAATCTTTATGGGGATTATCAGTTTAATAGAATGAAAATTGAGGTTCCAAAAGACTAAATTGGCTGAAGTCATGCTCCCACATACAGCTAGGATTTCAGTCTAGGTCATCTCTGTCCATAATCCACTTTCTCATACCACCTGCTGTGATACTCAATACACATTTACTGAAAGGATCTCGGAGTCCCAACCTGAATCTCCCATGTCCTCTTTGATGTTTCACTGTTGGATCTATTTTAGGAAATTGTTCTTTACCTTCTGCCTGCATCTCCACTGTCAATTTGGATTTTCAGTTCTTCACAGCCTCCCATGTACTTGGTCTCCCTCCTGCTTTCCTCTATCAGGAAGTTCTTCAACTTCTTTCACAGTCTTGATCTCAAATGTAATCTACATTGACTTCAAGATGATAACTTGAATCTTAAATGTCACTCAGTTCTTTTCAGATCATAGCAGCTCATTACCAGGCCCAAGAATTCTGAATGAACCTATAAAGTACTTGCATCTCACTTAGCAAGTAGAAAACTGAAGGGAAGTAAGCAAATATCACATTAGAATAATAGTAAAAACAAGATTTTATGATAGCTGTTGTGGTCAGGCATTTTAGATATTGAGTTATTTACAAATAATTGAATTTTCATTTGGGACATTGAGTTCTCCCAGTTTTTATAGTAATAGCATTCTATTCATTGTACACTATAGAAATAAGATATGGTTTTAAAAATCTTTAAGATTACATTTTTGTCACCCTGGGAAGAATGACACTCCAGTAATTTTTTAAATGCCCAATCACTGTTATTCTATAAGCATTCCATATTGTAACAATTATCAGACTCATAGCTGCATAGCACCATTAATGTTTAACTGTAGTCCTATGCAGCAGGATATAAGCTAAGCCCTATCGTCAATTTTCATACAGAGAACAGGGTAATGATAAAGTTTTAAACACTGATAATATATTTTTCTTCCAGAAATCCTGAGTCATTCACAGCAAACTTCCTACCTGGCAGTGATCCTGAATTTTTTGTAAAACCTCAGATTGGAGAACTTCTTCCTAAAGGAACTCTCATCACTGTGGGTTTTATACCCGCAATGTACAGCAGGAAATACAAAGCAACATTAGCAATACAGGTGAGTTCTAGAAAGGTAATAGTCAAGGATATTTGATGTCACAAAAGTCATTAAATGACTTTGGGAAAAAAGTTTCACTCAATGATCAAAGGTAAAGAACAGCAACATTATCTTGCAAAAGTCAACATATTTCAACTGTTTTGCTTATTTTAATTTCCTTTCGGTCAAAAAAGAAATTTTAAATGTAAAATATAACCCAAATGTTGTTATCATCAATGGAAATAGGAAATTGTTTCTTTTCCACACTGAGGAATTGTGGAAGAGATAAATAATGACTGTAAAGTGATTTGTATAGACATATTATTTCCTATAATAACCTATTCAAAGGCTTTGGGTTTCCCAAGTGGCTCAGAGGTAAAGAATCTGCCTGCAATGTAGGAGATGCAAAAGTTACAGGTTAAATCCCTGGGTTGGGAAGATCCCCGGAGTAGGAAATGGTAACCCACTCCAGTATTCTTGCCTGGAAAATTCCCTGGACAAAGAAGCCTGGCAGGCTACAGTCCGTGGAGTTGCGAAGAGTCGGACACCAGTGAACACAAAACCCCTTTATTTAAAGACTTCAGGTGATTTCCAATAGAGATTTTGAAACCTTTGATTTCAAAGGATAAAGGATAAGGTGTTAGGAAAATGTTAAGTTCTAAAATGAAGAAAAGTAAACAGAAAATAAAATTTATTTTGAATTGAAACAAAATAGTGTGAAATGGGCCATTAATATAAAATAATGTTAAAGTGATCATTTTGTAAAAAGTTAAGGTAAATACAACTCTGAAAATTTATTCAGTAAGTAGAATTTCTCCATAAAATTCCCCATATCTGTCCTACTATGAACTTTTGGCTCAAGGTAACATTCAGGTTATTTTGGAAAAGATGTCTGTTACCACTGTCTTTTTTCAGTAGCACAGGCACAAGGGAATTGTAGTCATATTTCAAGACACAACTACTGATGCCAAAGTGACTACTATTCTGAATCAGACACTAATTAGGCAGCCCCACTGGCAGAAAAATGTGTTGTTACTGTTTTAATGAATAGAGAGAAATATTGAATACTGCTTGAGAAGAGCATTTATTTTTCATCTTTTTGAGACCCCTTACAACCCAGATAATAAAAATATAAAGCATCTGGAGCCTTGCTGCACATAACTATTTCCTGAGTTAATAATTGATTACAATTATCATGTTAATCTGCTTACTTCTTAAAATGATATTTTAAAGAGAGATTTGTGAATAAAATTATATTCAGTTTATAACATATGGTGGATATTTCTGAAATTAACTATTAACACTTAGGAAGTTTTACCAACAAAATTCTGTTTCTGATTTCCCTGTGCAGACTGAACAATTAAATCACTAGCAGCAGAATTGAAGGGTTTCTGTGAAAGAATAAGTTTATATGGGATCAACTGAAAATATAACATTTTGATTTAGTGTAAGCAGTATGGTTTGATAAAGTATATATGGGGAAAATTGAGAAATCACTATTTTGATTTAAGAAATCATTGTTGACCCTATTTCTATTATGGAGAACTTAAAATATGTGCCAAAATGGAGAGAATACTTAACTCTCTGTGCACTCCTCGTCCCACATGAACTCTTATCAACTCAAGGCCAGTCATGTTTCAAGTATGTTTCCACCCATTTCCTCACTTCCCATATTATTTTGAAGAAAATCCAAGACTTCCTATTACCTACAAATATTCTGTATCGATCTCTAAAAGATAAAAATCTTAACCATGATACCATTGTCATATCTAAAAATTAATAATAATTCATTAATACCAGTGCATACTAAATATCCATTTGAAAGTGAAAGTCGCTCAGTCATGTCTGGCTCTTTGCGATCCCATGGACTATGCCATCTATGGAATTCTCCAGGCCAGAATACTGAAGTGGGTAGCTTTTCCCTTCTCTAGGGGATCTTTCCAACCTAGGGATCGAACCAGGGTCTCCCACATTGCAAGCTGAGCCACAAGGGAAGCCCAAAAATACTGGAATGGGTAGCCTATCCCTTTTCCAGCAGATCTGCCCAACCCACGAATTGAACCAGGGTCTCTTGCATTGCAGGCGGATTCTTTACCAACTGAGCTATCAGGGAAGCCTCTAAGTATCCATTTAGTGTTCAAATTTTCCGTTGACTCATACATCTCATATTTTTTCATTTAAATAAATATGTAAAGACATAAAAATCGTAGGTAGAGTCCCATGAATCCTTCTCCCAGCTCTCCCAGTGGTGACGTCTTATATAGCTGTAGTAAAATATCAAAACAAAGATATTAACAAAATAGTGTTAACTAGAAGAGACACTACTCCATGTTGTGTGCTTTTCACATCCATTTGTGTGTCTGTGTGTGTATGTTTGTATATGTCTGGTTCTAGGCAATTTGAACCCATTTATAGATGTATATACCTATAACCACAAGTGAGGTGGAAACTCTTCCATCACAGCAGAGGAACTATGTCTTGCTAACTCTTTCTAGTCAAGTCCAACACTGTAATTCCCTCTCTACCCCCTGGCAACTAGTAGTCTTTTCTCCATCCCTATGATTTTGTGATTTCTAAAATAGTATATAAATGGAATCATGTGCAAGCTTTTGAGACTGGCATTTTATGCCCAATATAATGCCTTTGGTGTTCATAAATTTTATTACATGTGTCAAATCAATGATTTTGAAATCATGGTTCAAGCACTGTCTGACTCCAAAACCCTGCTGTTAATGATAACAGCATGATGTCTCACATGATAAATGTGAAGAATTTTAGAAGTTAACTCACTGTCTAAATGAAAATTATTGTTTACATTATTATCATCTTTTTAAAACTGTTGTAAACACTAAGTCAATTAATACTTGTAACATATGAAACATATAATTTTCATTGTGTTTAATTGGAAATTAAAAGTATTTTTAAGAACAGTTTAGTTAAATATTACCCTATACAAACTTCAACAACCATGTTAACAAGCTTCATAAGTTCCCTTTCAATTAAACCATATTTAGAATGAGTAAAAAGAATCTTTTCTCCACTATTATACAGAGCATATAGCACTAGCTTTGAGAGACTGAAGTTAACTTAATCAAAGTGTTACAAAAAGCACTGTAACTCAAACAGAGTGGACAGTCCATTCAGCTTCCATGGTGGACATGGTGAATCTTAAATAGTTTATACAAACTTGTGAGAACTCTCAGAATTACCCAAGATAAAACATATAAGGATTGTACAAAAGAAATATGTATATGTAGAGAGGCCTAGGCATAGGCATAAATTACATATATTAGTTTTAAGGGAATTGGCCATTATCATGAAATTGTGGGAAATGGTATTATATACATGTATGTTGGTTTGTATTTTCTCATAAACAGATCCTAAAATAAGGATTCAAGTCCAAGTAGCATATTTACCATGTGATCACAGGAAACAGATGTAGAGAAGCCAGGATATGAGACTCATAAGGAATAGAAATCAATAAAGGGTGCATTTACCAAGGCAATTAGCAGAGAGGGCCCTGGGGATTTAACACCATGGGAGTTCTCTGGGAAATCATGTGGAACCCATACCTTAGAATATTCACACTTGAGGGGCCAGGAAGTTTAGAATGTTTATATACCACCTGTCACTGTTCAATCATTGACTGAGGAATGTTCCCAAGGATTGTTAACTCCCTGACAGCAGAGAAGCCTTCTGAAGTTTCTAAAAAACTTCAAAGAGAAAAAAAAATTTTTAATTAAAATAAATAATATTAGTAAAAATATATCTAGGAATTTCTCTGGAGCTGTTGTGGGCAGTGTGGGTTCAGTTCAGTTTCAGATAGCTTCTTGTTCCAGCTTACACTTCTCAATATCTATAGGCCGCTTCTGGTGTAGTCGGTGTTAACTACAGGGATTTTAATCTGTTGCACCTGTCACTTCTAAAGCGGTTCCCTTTGTTTATTCGGCTTCTGTTTGCAGGTCTCTTCAGTGTCTAATTTCCGCCCTGACACAAGTGGGCAGAGGTGGTCTCTTGTTTAGGTTCGCTTGCTCAGTGGTGCTGTGGGGAGGGAGGGGCGCTGCAGACAAATGTCACTGGCGTGTGTGGGGAGTGCTCGCAGTGTTTCGGCCACACTGGGTTTGCCCCCACATAATTGTCAATTTGGCATTCTTATGTAAGAGCACAGTGACTCTTTGACATATTAGTGACATGAAGGTATTCATTTACTTTCATATTATTTTCACTGTCGTTGTGCTCAGTCGTGTCCAACTCTTTGTGACCTCATGAACTGTAGCCCTCCAGGTTCCTCTGTCGATGGAATCATCCAGGCAAGAATACTCGAGTGGGTTGCCATTTCCTTCTCCAGGGGATCTTCCCAACCCAGGGATCAAATTTGGGTCACCTGCATTGACAAGCAGATTCTTTACCAACTGTGACCCTTGGGGAAACCTAGGCAGAGGAATACCTTATCTATTTTATATATAGTAGTGTGTATATGTCAATCCCAACCTCCCAATTTATCCCTCCTTCCTGCCTTATCCCCTGGTAACCATAAGTTCATTCTGTACATTTGTCACTCTATTTCTGTTTTCTAAAGTTCAGTTGTACCATTTTTTAGATTTCCACATATAAGCGATATCATATACTTGTCTTTCTCTTTCTGACTCACTTCACTATGTATGATAGTCTATAGCTGTATCCAGGTTGCTGCAGGTGGCATTATTTCACTCCATTTAATGCTAATCTACCGTTGTATATATGTACCATGTCTTCTTTATCTGTTCATCTGTTGATGGACATTTACGTTGCTTCCATGTTCTGGCAATTGTAAATAGTGCTGCAATGAACATTGGAATGCACATATCTTTTCAAATTATGGTGTCCTTTGTGCATATGCCCAGGAATGAGATTGCTAGATCATATGGTAGCTCTTCTTTTAGTTTTTTAAGAAACCTCCACACTGTTCTCCACAGTGCATGTACCAATTTACATTTCCACCAACAGTATAGAAGGGTTCCCTTGCCTCCACACCCTCTCCAGTATTTATGTTTGTAGATATTTTGACAATGGCCATCCTGACCAGTGTATGGGCTTCCCAGGTGGTGCTCATGGTAAAGAACCTGCCTGCCAATGCAGGAGACATAAGAGACTAGGGTTCAATCCCTGGTCTCAGAAAGATCCCCTGGAAGAGGAAATGGAAACCCACTCCAGTGTTCCTGCCTGGGAAATTCAGTGGACAGAGGAACCTGGCAGGCTATAGTCCATGGGGCCACAAAGTGTCAGACACAACTGAAGAGTTAGCATTCTGATCAGTGTAAGGTGATACCTCACTGTAGTTTTGATTGGCCTTTCTCTAATTATTAGTGATGTTGAGCATCTTTTCATGTGCTTTTTTCTTCTTTGGAGAAATGTCTATTTAGATCTTCTGCATATTTTTTGATTGGGTTGTTTGGTTTTTGATAATGAGCTGCACGAGCTGTTTGTATATTTTGGAGATTAATCCCTTGTGGATTGCTTTGTTTGCAAATATTTTCTCCCATTCTGTGAGTTGTCTTTCATTTTGTTTACAGTTTCCTTTGCTAGGCAAAAGCTTGTAGATTTGATTAGGCCCCATTTTTTTATTTTTGTTTTTATTTTCATTACTCTAGGAGGTAGATCAAAAAAGATCTTGTTTTGATTTATGTAAAAGTGTTCTGCCTGTGTTTTGCTCTAAGAGTTTTATAGTATCTGACCTTACATCCAGGTCTGTAATTCATTTTGAGTGTATTTTTGTGTATCATGTTAAAGAATGTTTTATTTCCTTTCTTTTACATCAAGCTATCCAGTTTTCCCAGCACCACTTATTGAAGAGACTATCTTTTCTCCAATGTATACTCTTGCCTCCTTTGTCATAGATTAATTGACGAGAGGTGTGTGGATTTATTTCTGGACTTCCTATTCTGTTCTATTGATCTATATTCCTGTTTTTTGTGCTACTACTGTACTGTTTTGATGACTGTAGCTTTGTTGTGTAGTCTGAATTCAGAGAGCATGATTCCTTCAGCTCCATTTTTCTTTCTCAAGATTACTTGTGCTATTTGGAGTCTTTTGTGTGTCTATACAAATTATAAATTTTTTTGTTCTAATTCTGTGAAAAAATGCCCTTGGTAGTTTGATAGGGATTGCATTGAATCTGTAAATTGCTTTGCACAGTATAGTCATTTTCACATTATTGACTCTTCCAATCCAAGAACATGGTATATCTCTCCATCTGTTTGTATCATCTTTGATTTCTTTCATCAGTATCATCTAGTTTTCTGAGTACAGGTCTTTTGCCTCCTTAGGTAGGTTTATTCCTAGGTAGTTTATTCTTTTTGATGTGATGGTAAATGGGATTTTTTCCTTAATTTATCTTTCTGATCTTTGGTTGTCAGTGTATAGGAATGCAAGAGATTTCTGTGTATCACTTACTGCAAAATTACTTGAATCTTAATTGAAATGTATGCAGTAACATTTAGGATTTAAAAGTGTATTTATAGGTAATTATTTTCAGATGGTCTTGTAGATACATTGGGCAAAAGAACAGATCCTTACATGTAGTTACCATGTGTATCACTAGGTTCTGAATGGGAAAGTACATCCCTTCACATAGCTCACTCCTATGTACCCACTAAGCTCGGGCATGGATGCAGGTTCCTTCATGTAGCTTATACATTTGTACCCATAAATGAGTCACTTATAAACATTCATAAGTGTTTATAAGTTTATAAATGAGTCACTTATAAACATTTACAACCACTTATGCACAATCACCAAAATGTAGCTATGTTTTTCAAATTGAACATCCTTATATGAAGTAAAATGTTATTTAACCCAGTTGTAGTATGGTTTTTGGTTTGTTCTGCTCAACAACAAAGCCAGACTCATTGATTCTGAATACTTAATTACTATGAACTTGGATAGAAGGGCCAGTTACAATTAAAAAACTGTTCCAGATGTGCAAGAAATTCCTGAATTTAACATTCATTGACAGATAGCACATTACATCTTGAACCCTGATATGACTACAGTATTTTCTTGACCTGAACTTCTCTTGAGTGAGTTTTCTGAACATACATGATACAGTTCTTATGTGAGGCAAAAGATCTGGATAAACACAGGTAGCATCAGGAAACTCTGTAAGAGCAATGAGATTTAAGTATGAACATAAATGTGTAAAAACTGCTAGACAACCTAATTCAGTATTGTCATTCTGTACAAAAATGCAGAAGAAATGAAGAATTTTTAAGTAAATTCCTGTGTAAGCTGTACTGACTTGGATTTAGATTTTGATTTTCATTAATGAGTTTGCACCATGCTCAGTAATTATAAGTAGTTATATTAATGATGTATTTTCATAATCTTAAAAACAGAAGCTTGACATAATACCAGTTGGTTCTATAGCCATATTGAAATTCCCTTAGATAAATCTTGCAAGGTATTATTTCCATTATATATAGTTCATGTTAAGTGATAGTCTCATGCAAACCAAATAGATAGCTTCACCCACAGGGCAGACCTCTAAGTGTGACTTTTTAGTGAATGTTTTTTAATTCATAAAGCCAAATGCATTCCTGAATTTATTTTCCACACTAATCATTTATTATCAGATTTGTGCCCTTAATGCACAAATGCAGTTTCAGTTTTGTGTCCTTCCCATACCTTACATGGAGGAGAGAGAAGGTGTTAGTTTGATAAGTATTTTGTCACATTTTTCTGGGTCCCTGGATATTGCATATAAAGTCTCTTCCTCTCTTTGTTTCTAGACAGCGGATATGTACTGGTTGTATGAGATCAATGGGTTACCTCAAGTTTCCGTACTGCCGGTGAATGTAAAAGCCAAAGTTGATGCTCGTAACAAGGTGTTTGACAAAAAGCCAGCTCGTCGGCGTAATTTTCTCTATGAAAATGCTCAACTCACAAGAACAGGGGTATCCTCTACGATCAAGGGGGCTCCTTTGGTGTTGAAGAATAAATAAAAAATTGTTTTTCCCAAAATATCTCTTGGTCTTTAGTAGAGTTAAATATTTTTTAATGATGGTTATTTCATTTTTCAAATATTTCTGAGGAATACTATTTCAAGTATCAGTATAATAGGGCTTCTGCATTTTATTTTAAAACTGCCTAAATCTATTCTAAATGTTCTATTCTGTTGAACAAAGAATGTTCAAACTATCACATGATTGCACTCATCTCACACACTAGTAAAGTAATACTTAAAATTCTCCAAGCCAGGCTACAACAGTAGTGAACTGTGAACTTCCAGATGTTCAAGCTGGTTTTAGAAAAGGCAGAGGAACCAGAGATCAAATTGCCAACATCTGCTGGATCATGAAAAAAGCAAGAGAGTTCCAGAAAAACATCTACTTCTGCTTAATTGAATACACCAAAGCCTTTGACTGTGTGGATCACAACAAACTGTGAAAAATTCTTAAAGAGATGGGATTACCAAGCCACCTGACCTGCCTATTGAGAAATCTGTATGCAGGTCAAGAAGCAACAGTTACAACTGGCCATGGAACAACAGACTGGTTCTAAATTGGGAAAGGAGTATGTCAAGACTGTATATTGTCACCCTGCTTATTTAACTTATGTGCAGAGTACATCATGCAAAATGCTGGGCTGGATGAAGCACAAGCTGGAGTCAAGATTGCTGGGAGAAATATCAATAACCTTAGATATGCAGACAACACCACCCTTATGGCAGAAAGCAAAGAAGAACTAAAGAGCCTCTTGTTGAAAGTGAAAGAGGAGAGTGAAAAAGTTGACTTAAAACTCAACATTCAGAAAACTAAGATCATGGCATCCAGTCCCATCACCTCATGGCAAATAGATGGGGAAACAATGGAAATAGTGACAGATTTTATTTTAGGGGGACTCCAAAATCACTGCAGATAGTGACTGCAGCCATGAAATTAAAAGACGCTTGCTCCTTGGAAGAAAAGCTATGACCAACCTAGACAGCATATTAAAAAGCAGAGACATTACTTTGCCAACAAAGGTCTGTCTAGTCAAGGCTATGGTCTTTCTAGTAGTCATGTATGAATGTGAGAATTAGAATATAAAGAAAGCTGAGTGCTGAAGAATTGATGCTTTTGAACTGTGGTTTTGGAGGAGACTCTTGAGAGTCCCTCGGACAGAAAGGAGATCAAACCAGTCAATCCTAAAAGAAGTCAGTCCTGAATATTCATTCGAAGTGCTGATGCTGAAGCTGAAGCTCCAGTACTTTGGCCACCTGATGCAAAGAACTGACTCATTTGAAAAGACCCTGATGCTGGGAAAGACTGAAGGCAGGAGGAGAAGGAGACAACAGAGGATGAGATGGTTGGATGGCCTCAGCAACTCAATATACACGAGTTTTAGCAAGCTCCAGGAGTTGGTGATGGACAGGGAAGCCTGGCATGCTGCAGTCCGTGGGGTTGCAGAGAGTCGGAGACGACTGAGTGCCTGAACTGAACTGAAATCTATTCTCTGGATATTTTATACTTAATTTATAAGTTATATATGTGTTAGAAAACGAACTGGTTGCAAATATTGGAATTAGTTTAAAGTACAGGAGTACATTTGTAGTAAAACTGAAAAATGATTTCACCTTATAAATCCATGTACATAAGCATATGTACTCCATATGATCCTATATTGAGTCTTAAAGTAACAAAGATATATTTCAAAATGATCCAGAAAAAAGGTTATTTTCTTAAAAGAGAATATGTTGTTTGATTCTTATCACTGAGGGGCAATATAATAATAAAGAGCCAACATGGACCATTGTTGGGCTTCCCAGGTGGTTCCAGTGGTTAAAAAAAAAAAACCTGCCTGTCAATGCAGGAGACATAAGAGACATGGTTTCCATCCCTGGAGACATGGTTTCCATCCCTGGGTTGGGAAGATCACCTGGAGGAGGGCATGGCAGCCCATTCCAGTATTCTTGCCTGGAGAATCTCATGGACAGAGGAGTCTGGCAGGCTACAGTTCATAGAGTCACAAGGAGTCGGACACGACTGAAGCAACTTAGCACACACACATGCTTGCATGGACCGTCTTTAAGACAATTTGACACAAAATGACTGCCTCTACCACAAGTCATTCATGTGATTTTAAACAAGTCACCTTTGTGTGTCCTAGTTCCTTTTGTGCAAAATAAAATAATTGTACTAGGAACAAAAGTGGCACCGTATAGCTAAATCTAGTCTACCACCTGTTTTATGCAAATAATTCTTTTTACATTTTTGATTGGTTGAAAAAAATCAATAGAGGAATATTGAATAACCCAAGAAGATTACATCAAATTTAAATTTCATTGTCTATAAATAAAATTTGGGGGGAGCCACATTCTTTTTTTTATTTCTTGGCTGCCCTAGGTCTTAATTGCACACATGGGATCTTAGATCTTCTTTGTAGCATGCAGGACCTTTAGTTGTGGCATGTGAGATCTAGTTCCTGACCAGGGATTGAGCCTGGGCCCCCTGTATTGGGAACATGGAGTCTTAGCCATTGGACAACTAGTAAAGTCCCTCATTTTTTATATATTGTCTGTAACTGCTTTTGTACTATAACAGTGAAGTTAAGGGGAAAGAAGCCATATGCTGCAAAGTTTAAAATACTTACTCTCTGATACTGTAAATAAAAATTTTAGCAATCTCTGTATTAGGCCACGAATGACCTCCAGGAACCACTGTCAGTGGATTGATCATAACTTCTTTGGATGGTGTTAAGTAGAATTCTGGGGACACATCTATGAGATCAGTTAATCTTGTCTGCAGTTATTGAAGTAGAGGAGAGTAGAGGCTCACATACCCAGATTTGCCATCCTGGAAAGGACAAGAACTAAAATTCAGTAAATTTCTAAAACTCCTTCTTGTTCTCTAGCCCTTGGAAGATGTCTCTTTGAGTATAGAGTCATAGATCATTTGTCTGTCCTTACCTCTGCTGTACTGTTGGATTATTTACATACTTAAATGCAGCGAAGGGAGTGTGAATGAGAACCTGGAAGACATGTTATTATTTCATGCTATGAATATTCCAAAAATGCTTAAAATTGCAATGCTACATTAAATGTTTCAGATTTAATCCTGGATGTTACCTTCTTCAGAAAAGGTATCTGTAGCTGGAAATGTTAGTGCAGACTATTATTTGTCCAAATGAAAATGTGGTAGAAGCAACTCAAGTAGACAAAACTGAATAGTGAATGAAATTCTAAAAATCCAAAAGTGTTGGGGGGATTTATGGGGAGGAAACTGTTGCTTTGTATACTTTAGATTATTTCTTAGTCCAGCAGCTGTAAATACCAGTGGCTTTTAAAATTCAAAGGAATTACCCATTCTCACTTCTACTCAACACAGTGTTGGAAGTTCTTGCCATGCAATCATACAAAAAAAGGAGAAAATAGGTATTCAGATTGAAAGAGAAGAGGTCAAGTTGTCACTGTTTGCAAATGGCATGATTATAGAGAATCCTAAAATCTCCACACAAAAACTATTACAACTAATAAATGAATTCAAGAAGGTAGCAGGATACGAGATTAGCCATCTACTTCTCTAGTTGTTTTTTCTTCATTTCATAGGCAATATTCTTCATTTGAAATGAATATTTCAAATCTTTCAAATAATAAGAAATATTTCAAATATTTCATTTGAAATGAAATATACTTCATTTCGTAGTCAACAAAAATAATGTAGTATACTTAATTTACAATGTTGTGTTAATTTCTGCTGTACAGCAAAGTGATTCAGCTTTATGTATATATACATTCTTTCTTTTATATATTCTTCATTATGGTTTATCACATGATATTGACTATATTAATATTTCACTGTGCTATACAGTAGGATCTTGGGTGATGGTGGCTTTATAGAATGTCTTTGGGAGTGTTCTCTCCTCTTGGTTTTTTGATCTTTTGTCTTTTCTTTGGTTGATGTGGTGTATCACATTGATAGATTTGCATATTGTGACCCATCCTTGTGAATTTGGGATGAATCCCACTTGATTGTGGTGTATGATTTTTTTGGTCTTGTTGGATTCAGTTTGGTAATATTTTGTGGGGAATTTTCACATCTATATATTAATGAAAGATATTGGACTGTAATTTTCTTTTTTGGTGGTGTCTTTGTCTGATTTTGGTATCAGGGTGATGGCGGCTTTGTGGAATGTCTTTAGGAGTGCCCCCTCCTCTTCAGTTGTTTTGGAAGATTTTGAGAAGGATCAGTGTAAGTTCTTTGTATGTTTGATAGAATTTTGCCTGTGAAACCATCTGGTCCTGGACTTTTGTTTGTAGGGAGTTTTTAAATTACAGATTCTACTTCACATCTAGTGATCAGTCTATTTAAATTATCTATTTCTTCTTCTTTTTTAAATCTATTTCTTCTTGATTCAATTTTGGTGGGTGGTATGTTTCTAGAAACTTGTCCGTTTCTTCTAGGTTGTCAAATTTGTTGGCATATAATTTTTCATAGTATCCCCTTATGGTTTTTTGTATTTCTACAGTAGGATACAAGATTGATATACAGAAATCTGTTGTATTTCTTTAAAGTAATAATGAAGTACCACAAAAAGAAATTGAAAAAAAATCCTGTTTAAAATTACATCAAAATAAAATATCTAAGAATAAACATAACCAACAAGTTTAAAGACCTATATGCTAAAAACTATAAAACATTGATAAAAGAACTTGAAGATAATTCAAAGAAATGTTAAGATATCCCATGCTTTGGGATTAGAAAAATTAATATTGTTAAAATGGTCATACTACCCAAAGCAAACTACAGATATAATGCAATCCCCATCAAAATACCTATGACATTTTTCACAGAAGTAGTAGAAAAAGTAATCCTAAAACTTATATGGAACAATAAAAGACACAGTGTTGCCAAAGCAAACCTGAAGAAAAAGAACAAAAAGCTAGAGGTAAAACCCTTCCAGACTTCAGATAAGACTACAAAGCAAAAAGTAATCAAAACAGCATGGTATTGGCACAAATATA